GGGGGTGGCGTTGATGCCCGCTGCGGCCGGGGACTGCTGGGCCTGTCGCTCATCTGCTGGGGAGCAATCAGTTTGGTGCTGGCCGATGACCGCAAGCCTCCACCCCCGGCTGGTTCCTTCCGTCCCTTGAAGGATGGTGGAGGAGGACGAGGGGGTGGCGTTGATGCGCGCTGGGGCCGTGGGCTGCTGGGCCTGTCGCTGATCCCCCGCGATGCAGAGCCCGGGCTGGGGGGCCGCGGGGGTCGAGGTGGGGGTAGCTGAGCCCGGCGGCTGTCCAGCCTGGCAGGGGCCGCTCTGCTGGTGCCCTGCGGCTGGTGGGCAGGTTGTTCCCACGCAGATAGTTCATGGTTTGTCTGTCTGTCGGGCCACTCGAGGTCAGCAGACTCCTCCTCTGACGGCAAGCTGTAGCTGCTGCTATCGTCCCGCGCTCCGTCAGCTGCAGCGAGGCGCCTGCGGAGAGAAGAACGTGCTGAGGGCGCAGCAGAGCCCCTGCTCTCCTTCCTCATGGCAAAGAGCCGCCCTCGGCTCTCAGCCCGTCTAAGAACGGGCTTCAGGAATGGCCGTGCCACTCCAACGTCTGACAGCACAGATCTCAGACCATGTTAGCCAACGGCTGACCCGCCTCTCTGTGCTGCTTTAACTAGAAATGCCTCCTGGCTCATGGCAGCCCTGCAGTAAAGAGTTGGGCAGGATGGGGGTGGGGGTGAACAACAACTCACTGCTTTCTCTTCCTGCACCACCAGAAAAGAACGCAGCACAGAATCATTGTTAGCAACAGGGAAACTGGCACAGATGCAGCAAGTTCCAGGTACAACTTCTGTGCATCTTTAACTTGCTTGGCGTTTGCACGTCCTTCGTCATCCACACCTGCAGGAATAAAGTGGTCGTTGCTGTGTCTCGTGCCATACCGACAATCTCGCAGCAGCTCTGACACGGCCACAAAATGCTCTTCTCATTTTGCTGGCCTCCTGGAACAAGTGAAAATCCTCAGGCTGCAATGCTTTCCCTGATTTCAGGGGAAGCTAAGGGAGTTGCCAAAGGCACTGCACATCAACGCACTCTGGAGCCTCTGTTCTGCCTCTCAGCTTTGTTTACACTCTGGCTCTGCCACCATCCAAATGTTCCTGGGCCATGGATTTGCTCCTTCTTCTCCATCATGCTCTAAGATTTCTTTTGCACTCGCCCACCCTCGCCTCGTGAGGCTGGGCAGTGCTGCTGCAGGCACACCGTGACCGCTTGGGGCACGTTGTCTGACTAAAGAAAACTCCTTAGAGCAGAAGGAGAGCGTGTGGATCTCTTTAACCAATTGTGCTATGAGTGACATGGACAAGAACAAGCCCTGAGCTCCCCCCTCCCACTGGGAACCCACTCGGAGGCAGAGTCAGGCCATCTCTACAGGCACCTGAACCTGCCTCTCCCTTTTTGCCTTTCACCCTGCGTGGGCACAACTTGCAGGCTCCGAGTTTTCTCCCCTTTATGAACTCCGGCCTGATTGTTGCTCACCTGGATTCTTCTGAAAAAAACCACGGATCCATTTGTACAGGGCTTCCTGGGGCTTTAACAGCACTGTGAAGAATGAGAGAAAGGCAAAGTCTCAGCATGGTGCAGGCAAAGAGGAGGCAGGACGGGGAGGCTCCCTCTAGGGAGTCAGTGCGTCCCTCTGGAGCTCAGTTTGCAGGAGGGATCCCGCTGCGGGCTGCTGGTGTACCAGGCGCCTCAAGGGAGGCACAGCAAGCTCTGGAATGCAGGGACTGTGGGAAGGAGGTACGTTGGAGGGTCCTATTTCCTCTCCTCATCTGCTGAATGTGGTTCCCCTGGCCAAAGTTCCTAAATCCCTGGGAACTGGGGGTGATGGGAGGGCAGCAACCTCTGACCACGGCCACGGAGCTCTAGGAGGGGCTTTACCTGGAGCGCCAGTCGTGTGCTTGGCCTCTGTTTCTCCCGGAGGGACGTGCGCTGTACGACGGCTGCCTGCCTGAAATGCATCCCTGTGCTCAGGCTCTCCGTCTGCCTCTTTAGAAAGGAGGTAAGAGAGCCAGGCTGTAAGTAACTGTTTCTCATCAGAAAGATGGTATCTGCAGGAGGCACCAGTTCTCTAGACACATCAGTAGAGTTTAGGAACAAAGCCTGGGCTTTTTGTGGTGCACCCCATTCCTGCTCCAAACTGCATGCCATTCTGTGAGACAAACTGAAGTGCTGCACACTTCCCAGTTTGCGAGCACAGACAGCAAGACCTGTCCTGCTGGGAGACCAGCAGGTTGCAGGCAGGCTTCTTGTGCGATTCTGGCAAGTTGCAAGATGATGCCACCAGCCAGTTCAGATCAGAGGGCTCTGATCCATCCTTTCCTGCTGTGCACGTTACAGTTTCTCCATGTATCTATCTAGAAACTCCGCTTCCCCAGTGTTTCAGTGAACAGAGAGACACCCACCGTGTGCTGCCTTCTCCTTCATGATTTTCTTCAGGACATGGGAGAGCCTCTGCGGATATTTTCCAGTTCTCGATGTCTCTTTCCATACCTCAGGACCTTAACAGAAACCACGAAAAAACATTTCAGACAAAGGATTGAACCGAATGGTCTTTTTGGTGAAGTTGATAAAGACAACAGCCGCCCTTGGGACGCCTGTGGGGCTACAGCACAGGAGGCAGCCAAGGATTTTTGCCCAGCCTTCCCTGCAGGCACTTCTGCACCCAAAGGCTGAGGAGAACTTTCCATCACACACTGCCATCTACGCAGCTGCGTAGCAGAGTTATGCAAGCTGCAGGAGGGCCAGGAGGGAGCTGCCTGGCACTCAGCAGCTTTCCGGATACTCTCTCCAGGTTGTGTGAAACAATCCTCAGAGACAGCATGGAAGAATATCTGGGTTTTCTTACTGGAGAGATCTGTGTTGTACAGAGACGAAGCCAACAGGACACTGGGAGCTCGCAGCACCCAACAAACAGGGAGTAGAAATCACCGGGCAGTGAAAAGCTGAACCCTGCCTCAACTGCCACAACCACATACGAGCAGAGAACGTGAGATGAAGGCTGGTGGCTCACCTCTGGCATCCAGCCCAGGCTCAGCAACAGGACTCCGCTCTGCTAATTCACTGAGAAGACCTGCAGGCACAAATGTGATCAGACACAGGTGAGGACAGCTTCCACTGCACCTTGGGGCCTGGTCTTTCTGCAGTGACCTGCAAGGACTGGCGGCAGGTCGGGGAAAGACATGGTCCAAACGGCAAATGTAGAGGTTCTCTCCTCCAAAGAGCGGCCAGGGCTGCTTTCCCACTGAAATGGGAAGTTCTCCAAGTAAAGAAATACTCAGGACTGTTCTGCGTACAGAACAGGGCCTTTAAGGCACAAAGAGACTTGAAAGACCTTTGGAGTTCTTAAGTACCTGAATAAACTACGACAGCACTAATTTTTCTGCCTTCAAGGAAACAGACACAACTTACCTCTGGGGTTCCCCTGAGGCACAAAAGCAGTGTCCACCCAATCCTCTGGATAAGGAGCATCAGCGTCATCTAGAATCAAGAACAGGTGAGACTCGTCCCCATTGCATGTCGAGGTCTCCTTTTCCCCTAGTGACTGGGAGGGGCCAGGTAACGGGACGGGAGACCCAGGCTGTGATCGCCAAGGCTGCAGAGCGGCCAGGGCAACCTGGAGTCTGGCTCTCGGCAGCTTTCCAAATGCTCTCTGCAGGCCACGTGCAATGCGCTGCTGGGACCGCACGGAAGGGCACACAGCCCGTCAGGGCTTTCGTACTGGGAAATCCCTGCTGTATCTCACACTAAAGCACTGGAGGAAACGATGCCTGTTTGTTGGCCTGGGCTCCGGCTGGCAGGCTCTGTTGGAGCTGGGATTTGCCTGCGGGGAGCAGCAGGAAGCCACAGCAGAAACGCTCCCGCTTTTCCCAGCACACATCTGCTGAGCTCCCCCAGGATACCCCGGGCGAAGAGCCGCTCAGCCAGCACAGAGCCACGGCCCGGCACGGCCTGCAGAGCATCGCTTCCTCACGCCCTCGCCCGGCTCCTGCAGTGCCGCCCATCCCCCCACCCCAACAGCCCCACGGCAGGCGGCCCCGGGGCAGAAGGGGACAAGAGCCCGGACCTCTCGCCCTCACCGTCGCTCGATTTCGGCCCCATCTCTGCCCACCCACCTGCTGGTGCTCGCCACGGAGCAGCACCAGTCTCCTGGGAACACGTGGCCACCAGTAGGAGGAGGAGAGCAAGGCGGGCGGGGGCCGTGGCCCCCCACACTCGTGCCATGCTGCCACCACCAGCGCTGCAGCCAAGTGAGTGCCGCCGGCCGGCACAGAACGCCTGGGGTGTGGGCTGAGCATTGTGAGCTCACGGCACCAGGCTGAGCATTGTGAGCTCACGGCATCAGGCTGAGCATTGGCAGCTCACGGCTGTTCCGCCACCAGGGCCACTGCCCCTGGGCTCGCTGCCGTGCTGGGGGAGGATTCCCAGCCATGCAGAGCAGCAGGAGGCCACTGACTGTCATGTGGAGTGCTGGAACGGCCAGGCTGGGAAGGGACATTAAAGGGACATTAAAGACACAGAGATGCTGTCAGAGCAGAAAGAAAATCACTGCAGTGTTGTTTGTGCTGTTTGGTGCAAACCAAGAGATTCACTTTGCTCTTTTAATGCCGAATCAGAAGCCGGTTTTTTAGTGCCATTTCCCCTTCAACCCTCCCCACCCCACCCACTCTCCCCTCCCCTCACCCCTGCCTCTCATTTTCTGCCTCCTCCTTCTCCCCTCTCCTCCCCTTCCCCCCCTTTTCTCCTTTCCCCTCCCCTTCCCCTTGCCTTATGCCCAACTTACCTCTCCTGCTCTTCACGGAATTCTTCTGCATTCTCCGCCTTTTGCTACTACTCTTGCCTTGCTTTCCTTTGCAATGCTGTGCATTGCTCTCTCCACATTTCTTGCCACCCATTCTTTTCTTAGCTCTTATTCTTCACTTTTTACTTGGCTTTTTTCTCCTATTCTCTTTGCCTTTCTTCTCTTTTCTTCTTTTAGTCCTTTTCTCTCTTTTCTATCTCCTCCTTTTTTTTCTCCTTTTATTTTTTTCTTTTTGATTTTTCTTTTTTCCCTTTTCCATTAAATACCTATTTTCTTCTCTCTTTTTTTCTTTTCTACTTTTTAATTTTTTTTTGCTTTTTTTCATTTTTTTCTGTTTTCTCTTCTTTTCATCTTTTTTTTCTTATTTTTATTATCTATTCCTTTTTTTTTTCTCTGCTTTGTTTTTTTTTCTCTTTTTTTCTGATTTTAATCATAGATTTTCCTTTAACCCTCCCCTCAACCCCCCTCCCCTCTCCTCTTCTCCCACCCCCTCTTTTCTCCCTTGCCCTCACCTCCCTTGCCCCTCCCCTTCCCTCTACCATTACCTCGCCTGCCCTTCACTTACCTTCTCCTCACTTCCTCCTTCTTCATGCTCTTGGCTTTTGCTGCTACTCACACCAAATCCCAACACTTGCCTCCTCTGCTTGCTGTTCTGCCCGGTGCCTCTCAGCTCTGCTCAAGCTTCACGCCGCCTGCCTGCCCTTCTCTCTTCCCTTCTCGTGCCCTTCAGGCTTTCCTCCCCTTGCTGAGCGAGGCCGTGCCCGGTAGCTCCCCTTCAACCTCCTCTGCACTTTGCCTTCCTCCAAGAGATGCTTGCTTCTGGCCAGCACTCCTGCCCGCTGCCGGCCCACAGCCTGCATCTCTTGGGGAGACGGCAAGGTGGCCTGCAGCTGCCCACACCTCCTCTTGGCACGGCTTCTCAGCTTGGCTTCAAGCCCACAGCCCAAAGGACCAAACCCCTCTCACCTTTGGGCCCAGCTTCTTCTCCTTCCGCGCAGCTCCTGTGGCAAGCCAGGGCTCAGCTCTTCCCCATTCCTCCATTCCTGCAAGGTTGCACTGTTTCATTCTTTCCCTTGCCTTGCTTTGCTGTGCTATGGTTAGCTTTCCTACTTGCTTTCTCTACATTTACATGCATTGCTTTTCACTTTTTATTCTCTTTCTTTCCTCTTTCTTTCTATTTTCCTTACAACCCTCCCCATTTTTGTTGTTGTTGTTGCTTGTTTGTTTCTTGGTTGTTTTTTCTTTTTTTGACTTTTTATCTTTTCTTACTTTTTATTTTATTACTTTTTCTTTCAGCCCCCTGAAGTTACTTTATATCCACCCGTTGGCCCCCTTTATCCCCCTTATCATTTCTATATCTGGGCCTTTACCTATGCCTCCTCTCCCCATATTACCCTATAGCCCCGTCATAGCCCCATATTACCCTATACTTTACTAGAACCTATGTAAGCCTCCTGTAGCTCCCCTACAGCCTTTTATAACCTCATATCTCCCTATGTCCCACCTGTACCCCTCCACAGACCCCTATTGCACCTGCTTCTCCATATCACACCTATTGCCCCCTCTAGCCCCATATCCCCTTCTAGCCCACCTATTTGCCCCCTACAGACATCTATACAACCACATTCTCTAATATCCTCCCCAGCCCCTGGAGCCCCTCCACAAACCCCCTCCAATGCTCCCTATAGCACCGTGTCCCCCCTAACCTCCTCACGGCCCTCTATTGCCTCAAATCCCCCCAGACCCACCCCTGGAGTCCCATATACCCAATCCCCTACCACAGCCCACTTCAGCCCCATGTGCCCCCCCATACCCCAACAGCCTTCTGTAGCCCCCTGCCCCCCCCGCAGCCCTCCCCAGCTCCCCACAGCTTCCTCGCCCCCCTCTATTTCCCCGTCAGCCCCCTGTATCTCTCCCAGAGCTCCCCGGAGCCCCAAACTGATCCCACATCCACAGCCCGTCCCATATTTATCCCACTTCCCCACACCCCATCCTGTCTCCCTCCACATCTCAGCCCCGCTCCCAGCCCCTCACCCCACGCACAGGCTTCCTTCCCCAGCCCGGTGCCGTTCTCCGTCCCTCCCAGCTCCGGCGCCGCTGTGCTCAGCACTGCTCCCGCCGTGCCACGGTTCCGTCTCGGTGCTGCCCGGAGCTCCGGCGCGCAGCGGCTGTGGGACCGGCGCCGTCTGAGGGGAGAGCCGGCTGCCAACAGCAGCCAACGGCAGCAACTCCCTTGTGAAAAGGAAGGAAAGGGTTACGATCAGACGAGCTGCTATGCGAGAATGGGAAAAGAATAATCCCCCTGGATGCCTTGGGATGGTGCCGGCACAGCAAAAATATCCAGTGGAAGACCCTAACTGGGACTGCAATAATGCACAACATTGGCAGAACATGAAGGACTTGCGAGATATAATAATGGCTGGAATTAAGGAGGCAGAACCTCAGAACCAGAATCTCACTAAGGCATTTGAGGTTCAGCAGAATAAGGATGGATCCCCTAGTGATTTTCTAGAAAGGCTTAGAGACAGGATGAGAAAATACTCAGGAATGAATCCTGAGGATCCTGTAGCCCAAGGGCTCCTTAAGGTGAATTTTATAACTAAGGCATGTCCAGACATACAGAGAACACTTCAGAAGATAGGATGGAATACGAGGCCCCTGGAGGAGCTCTTACAAGAGGCTCAGAAGATATATGCCAGAAGGGAAAATGGGGAAGAAAAACAGAAGGCTAAGTTGATGGTTTCCACAGTGGATCGTGTAGCAAAACAAAGATTGGATAATAGGGAAAGGAGAACTGAAGAGAGGTCGGGTCCTGGAGGGTGGCAGAGAGGAGGAAAATTCTGAGGATATCGATCCAGAGTTCAATCAGAGAACAGTGAAAGGAGGTGTTCCAAGTGTGGTAAGCTAGGACACGTAAAGAAAAACTGCCCAGAGTGGAGAGAGAGGAGAAGCTACAAGCTGCTTTAAATTCAGAATAGGGTGTCAGGGGTTCTGAAAAGTTGGTCCCAGCAGGAGCCCTTGGTAAATGTGAAACCGGGACCTGAAGGGGAGGAGATTGTATTTTTAGTCGATACTGGGGCAGCTCGATCACTGCTAGCTCATAAAGTGTCAGGACTCAAATTAACAGATGAGACTCTAAGGATAACGGGGGTAGATAACAGGACTGGGATGATAGTGCCACTTTTTGAAAAGTAGGGAATAGGACAATAACAGGGCAGTTACTGCATGTATCTGAGGCAGGGACTAATTTGCTGGGGAGAGATCTTATGATGAAACTGGGAATGCAAATAACAACCCGCCAGGAGGGAAGGACAGTACCAAGGAATGTGTTAACTGAGGCAGATGAGAAAGAAATCCTGTGGTGTGGGCAAAGGAGGGGAGGGGGCTGAAAACAGCCCCTTTAAAAATAAAGTTGCAGGAAAAATATGAGACCATAAGACAGAAGCAATATCCAGTTCCTTTTGAGGGACGTACCGAGCTTGAACCTGTGATACAAGGATTGCTGAAAGATGGGTTGTTGGAACCGCGCGTGTCGCCCTTCCATTCCCCATTCTGCCAGTAAGGAAACCTCATGGCTCCTATCGATTGGTCCAAGGCTTGAGAAGAATTAATGAAATAGTACAAAAACGACATCCAGCGGTTCCAAACCCATGTACCTTGATGAATAAAGTCCCAAATGAAGATAAATGTGTTATAGAGCTAAAAGACGTCTTTTGGTTTTGTCTCCTGGATCTGGAGAGCAGAGATATATTTGCTTTTGAGTGGGAAGATCCTGAGAGGGTGAAAACAACAGTATGAGTGGATGGTTCTGCCTCAGGGGTTTGCAGAATCACCAAATCTGTTTTGGAGCAAATATTAGAATGCTTTCAGGCACCAGAGGAAGTGTCACTCCTACAATATGTAGATGATCTCTTGCTGTCAGGACCAGAAAAAGCAGAGGTTAAAAAGGCTACGAACGAGCTGCTAAATTTTCTAGGGAAACAGGGACTGAGAGCCTCAAAGAATAAACTACAGTATGTGAAAAAAAAAAAAAAAAACGGATGAGGTTTAACAACAGCAAGTGTAGAGTCTTGCATCTGGGGAGGAATAATTGCATGCACCAGTACAGGTTGGGGGATGAGCTGCTGGAGGGGAGCTCTGCGGAGACGGACCTGGGTGTCCTGGTGGACGACAGGTCGGCCATGAGCCAGCAGTGTGCCCTTGTGGCCAAGAGGGCCAATGGCATCCTGGCGTGCATTAAAAAGAGCGTGGCCAGCAGGTGGAGTGTTGCCTTTGCTTCGGCAACCTCCGAATAATGTCCCGTCGTGAAGTGCTCAGACAGCCCCGGCCAAATCACACGCTTTTATGACACCAATGTGGTGAGCGGCAAATGGCACTTACTGCAAGCAACACACTCTTCTTATAGTTGTCCCTTATATCACAGTGCTACCAATCACCCGTGTTACGGTTATCTGTGCCCAATAGACGTGTGGCGTGTCTTGTCTTGCCATGTCTCATCATGGTTTTCTTATGAGTCAAGGAGCCCCCGCAGAGGCTGATGACTGTTACAGCCCCCCTTTCACGTATTCGCTGACCACGCAAGGGGCCCACACAGATTACGCCTGGTTACGCCTGGTGACCTTGACAGCCCCCGCTTTACGTATTTCATTGACTACATCTCTAACTTGTGTATTTTGTTAACTACAGTGGAGGGAGGTGATCCTCCCCCTCTGCTCTGCCCTGCTGAGGCCTCATCTGGTTTGGACTCTCACACTTTGTCAATTGTGTCACCGAGGAATCATAAGTTGGAATTGTTGGGGTTGGTTTACATGGACTATTGTTTGTACTCTAAAGAACCCACCCTTTGTTCAGTGTATTACTTTTAGTTTAGCTCCTTTTAGGATTGTTTCTGAACCGTGCTTCTTTATCTATTAATAAAGAAGGGATAAAGAAAGTCGCTGTTTTGCTAATGAGTAAAAAAGCTCAGCAGTAACTTGAGATGTAAACACACGAGGTGCCTGGTTCCTACATGTAACCAGTTGTTGATGTGTGGGTATTAAAGGTTGTAAGCACTACAATAAAAGTCTTTCGTTCCTCCTTCTGCACCAGCAAGGGAGCCTGCGCCTCTCTTGCCACACCAGCAAGGGAGCTCAGAGTCCTCTTGCCACAGAGAGGAGAGGAGAGAAGGAGAGGAGAGAAAAGACAGAGTAGAACAAAGAAAAAAGGGAAGAGAGGAGCTTCTAAGGGGGAAGAACAGAAAAGTGATGAATGAGAGGGGAAAAGAAAGAGGACAGAACAGAAAATACAGGTGAGAAGAGCAGATCTAAAAAGGACAAGAGATAAAAAAGAGAGGGCAGGGAGAACAGAGGGAACAGCAAAAGAGGAAAGTACAGATGGAGGAAGAAATGAAGGAATGGTGCAGAGAAAAGAGGGAGAAGAGTGCAAAAAAAAGAAGAGGAGAGAAGTTCAGAGCAAACAGAGTTACTGAGAAGAGAAAAAAAAAGGAATATGAATAATTTCTAAGTTCTATTAAAGTAAAATTCTTCTTAAGACAGATTTCTTTTTGCGTTTGTATCCTAGACAATTTAGGAATATTCAGGAACACTGTCAGTACGTTTTTTTTTTTTTAAGGTCTGCTTCATCCCATCTGCTCTAAAATACCCAACAGGTGTCAACGGGGGATCAGTCCTTAAAGGCACTCAGAAAATCTCACTGTTTGTGCCCAACATCAACAAGTTTACCTTCATGAAGGAGTAGAGAGACTCCTGCGTGGTCAGGAATTCCCTTCTGATATCCAGCAGATCCATTTCGGAGCGGGACACCATCGCTCTGATCACAGTGCTGTCGGCTGCTCCCAGGCCCTGGGAAGCAAAGCAGCCACGTGCAGCCGACACAGAACTGCTGGAGAATCACCTGCAGACACAAAGGTCTCAGGGCCCAGTCCTGTGCAGGAGCTGCTCTTCATTACAGCATTTTTGCATTCATGGAGCAATCCATGAGCAGCAGCTTGCTCCTGAGTATGGCTGTTACCCTGATGTGCAGAAAAGCCTGAGCTTTCCTGGAACAGCCAGTTTCCTGAGTGGCTGCAGCTTCCATCTCATGATTGCCATGATGCTGCTGGCTGACTCAAGCACGAAAATGCAAGAAAGAAGCAAGCAATCTTACTCCACAATCTGTTTACCTTCGTGGG